CGCAACAGCGACATCATCCCCCTAGATGTACGGGGCATCCACAGTGCCCCCGCACCTCTTCCCGCAGTACCCCTCGTACATGTCGCCTTCGACACCACCTTCACCCTGTGCCCCTGGCATTAGTTCTTCAGTGGACGGCTCCCCTGGCCGCTACATCACATGCATGTCGAAGTACAATCACAAAGGCGCCCACTATAATCAGTTTCCACTGCAATGCCTCGATCAAAGCTCGTGCAAAGCAACATTCACGCAGTAGGCAAAATCGCTTACTGGATGCCCCCTAACATCCATCATCCTCGAAGCTTTCCATCCTCGCTTCCCACTTACCGACCGCTTTGTCTCATGTTGGAGGCCGTAAGATCTTCTCCGCAGGAGCGTACGTTGCTAGCCTTGGATAACCAACAACGCAACATTCGGAGCAAATCGGCTCTGATACCACTTGTAACGGACCTCTCATTCGGTCCTTGAGGTTCCAGGGACCCCTAAGGCAGCCTACCCCACACATGCGACCGGCAAACTTAGATATGCAACATAAGCACAACATAGGGATAGAAAGCATGTCATCCAAACCTGTTAAAGGGACATCGTCAATGCACTTCCGAGAAATATAGCAATAAATCCGCAATAAGTTATCTTGCAATGCCACATGGGTAGGGGAGTTCTCTAGGTCCATGACAATGTGTAGACAAACTTGTCTCCATTTCTCATAAAATTTGTTGAGTTGAGAGAAGAAACGAACTTAGATGAGTACATCTAAATTCTTCAGTGTAAATAACTCTAAATGTTTGATACATGTTACTGGATAGAATTTAAAGCTAGAATGAATAGGATTTTAACTTTTTTTTCCTTCTTTATACTTTCTAATACTACATTTTGAAACATGAAGCCAACAAATCATGGCCAGTCTCGAGAATGCACAAGCTCAATTTTACATTATACGATGCATGAACACTTCTACTGTGACGACTTCACAAAAACACGTGTTTAATATTTCACGTGTCCTATTTCATATATATTATTAACAAAAGGATATATAATTTTAACTCGAAAATTCTCTAATATACAACAATTATTCGAGAATAAAGCTACTGTGCACACAAACATTAATGTCATTAATTAATAGGACATTTTAATTGTAGAAATACAAGTTAGCTTTACTCATCAATCAAAAGAAAGAAAAAATAAATGGAACAGTGAATTTATTAAAAAAATGAAAAAAATAATGAAAATTTATATAAAAAATAATAATGAAGTGTGTATATATACAGAAATGATCTAATGAGCACCGGTGCTCATCTTATCCTAAGTACCAATGAGTTGGCACATTAATTCATTGGTGGATTGGAACTCACAAAATCTTTATCCACCAATGAATTAATGTGCCAACTCATTGGTACTTAGGATAAGATGAGCACCGGTGCTCATTAGATCATTTCTGTATATATACACACTTCATTATTATTTTNATAATGAAAAATTATATAAAAAAATAATTTGCATAAGCCTTGTTGAGCCCAAATTGGCCAAAGCCCAATAGTCCAAAAGTAAAGAAATGGCATAAGCCCATTCACAGGGATGCATCGGCCAAAGCCTAGAAATTCCCAGGCTCCATTGCTCGAAGCCCAATGTATCTCCGAGGATCAACATTGTTGAAGCACCTCAATGCCGAGGCTCAAGAGAAAGATAAAGAACTAAACAATTTGATAAAATTCCGAGCACTACTTATTTAACTGAAGCTCCAAAACCTATACGTCAAACCGAGACTCAATAAAACAGAATCTGAAACTCAACTATGACAAATAATGACATACAATTGAAGATCTTAAAGTGCATAAGATCCTCTTGGAATGATTGATTGGACAGCCGCAATGAGTAGAAAGGGTTAATCATGTCAACACAAGTCGTGGGTTGGCCGCCTTCTTCAAAAGCATTTAATGCGCCACAAGCTAAAACAGTAAAAAATGATGCATATGAGGTGATGTTTCGATCAAGGAGATGATACAATTTGTCCCCTCATCCAATGGTTATGATTGCACATGTAATACTATAAATAAACTCTTTTAGCGTCGTAACAGGGGTTGAAAAAATGGGAGATCGATAACACAAATATACTCTCTTTGATATTGGAATTTTGAAGACGAACATTGTGCAACTTCAATGTTTAATTTGTTTCTTTATTAATCGTTCATTATCATATTTTGTTGTCCTTTTATTTACCGAATCTCGAACATATTTGTCTCGTTTCAAAAACTTCTCCCACATTCAAACTCAACATTTTCGACTAGTAATATGTCAACACATGTCGAAATTAGCTTGTCAAGACGAGAGAGAGTCCGATATCTGTGAACGCATTTTTTGTGGTCAACTAAGTATTGGACATAGATAGTAACCACTGGTGAATTATAGAACGTACAGAGATGTTCACTGCACGTGCTTACCCTAAGTCATTGTAATCCATCCTCGAGACGAAAACTAGAACAGAATTTTTGAGAGAAATAAATAAATGAATTTAATGGAGCATGAAAACAACTTCATTACATCTATATGGTAGACATAATTTATGCCATACGACGCTGTTGCTGCAAAATTTGTTCGTTCTACTTCCTAATACAGTAGGAAATATGTCATCTCATGTTGCAACATAAAGACTTTCCTCGCTGTTGCAATTTGTTCCACATACATATCATCTGCCTCGGAGATTGGTAGTGAGCCGTATAATAATCTTCTATGCACCCGAACTGGCAGAACTTCAAGCTATGGACGTACTCAACTGGTTGCGAATCACTGAATTTCTCGACCCACATTCCCATACTCACATCCTCCATTTTAAACAACTGCATATCGATGAATTAGTTTTCTTTTACACGTTATATGCTTTTCAATGATGGGCATTTAAACGAATAATTTGAAAAGGAAAGACAGATAATGGCATTTACCCGTAGTTTATGCTTCTCGAAGTCAGAAACAATAAAGTTTGCAATGTCAGATGAAATAACGTAGCCCGGACCATTCGCATAGGGTGGATAGACTTCTTCTGGCCATTCCTAGACCACCACAATTGTTATAATAATGAGCCTTGCTCCAAAAGAAAGGTAATGAGCCAAAAGTACATTTTTCTTTAGGCATAGTCAAACATGCTCTTAATGTGTCTCAAACACCATAAGAATAACTACATAATAATGACATTTAACTTATATTTTATCCAACGAGTTACTCCAAGTTTGGATTCACAGCTAACAAGCTTTTTCAGCAGTCACGCTCGGGGCAAAGAAAATGGGGTTCCATTGGCAGTCATACTCTGTGCTTCATATATCTCAATAATATCCCAAGTTCCCATTTAGGCTCTAGCAGACCAGTTCAGTCACAGTAGGTTTCAAAATGGCCAATGTAAAAAGTCTAAATAAACAACACTAAAAGATCTCTTCGAATGATGCATATACAAGGCAACTAATGCTAAAGAATCTGAATTTGTAGCATCATTTTATCATAAAATAGTCCAAAAATCCCCATCAAAATTAGAAATTACTTGAAGAACGTATTTAAAATAGCGAGAAAAATGATAAAAATAAAATAAAATAAAAAATCCCAGTAGTTCTGCCTGATTCCTGCAGACTAAGATTCCCTAGATGGTTTTGTAAACTACACAAGTCTACTCCATGCCATCAATTATGCTAATGGCATCAAGTGGGTAGGAGATGGGCCCTTTACTAAAATGTATTGAAACTGGACTCAATACCACCACTAAGTCAACTAATGGAATGAGTAATCGTGCTAGAGTAACAAATTAGTACCCTATATTGCAATGGCATTGACCATGGGCATATAAGCCGTATGCCAACAAATAAAACAAAGGAAATCCACTATACAGATTGAAAGGTAAAATGGTTGTAATAGTACCTCATATGTCACTGACCATTTACCACTTCGCATGGGCTTATGGTAGTAATTCATATTCCCAATGTACAAGCTCTTGTTCTCGGGTATTTTCTTCGCTTCCATAAGAACAGCGTCTACTCTGACAAATGTGTCATCATCAGTTTTCATAATATACTTTGCAGGAGCTCTTCGAACCTGCAAAGGTACAAAATACAATCAGTCGAGCTACAAACTTAATTTCAATACTTAACTTACAATGAATCCACAACTCACCCCATATTCACAGATGGCAACTGTCTTTAAAACAACAAGGTCATAGTTGTCCATGTATGGTACTATTACAATGTCTCCGAAAAAGTCAGCTTCTTTCTTTAATTCCGCATTCACTTCCTTTCTAGCATGCTGTCCAAAGAAATTTTTTTGAATAAATTTCAAAAGCCTTCCAACAAAAGAATGAAAAGAGGTTGCATTTGTATCATACGTGCCATCAATTGGTTCACCTACCAGTGCAACAAAGAAACGAGCAACTGTATTGGAAGATTTTATTAGCCTATGCTGCATCCAAGACTTCCTCACAGCCATACGTTCAGCAAAGTGGTTGCCTGCTGAAAGAATACCAATGAACAGTTCAACAGGCCCTTCAAGAATAGGCGGAGCCTTCCATTTGTTAGACCAATCAAGATTTCGTTGAGGTGCAAAACTGGGGTGTAATGTGGGCAGGGAAGCAGCGAAAACAGAGTGGACATCAATGTCTCCCATCAAAGATAATCCAGTGGCATCTTCGAGTGTAAATCCCTAAAACATTCAATAAACACTTGAGCAAAGTCCCATATATCACAAGACCATAGATATTCAGTAATTGTAACTTACAGGGCGATATGGAAATGAGGTGATATGTCTTCCGTCAACATTGACATGGTACCCCTCCAAGCCAGCACTAAGAGTAAGGACAAATAACTTGTCTTCTGCAAATGGGAAAGCCCAATCAACATCCATCCTCTTCGGCGTCCGGCCTATTAATCGACTTAACCACCATGTTGTCTTTGATTCTTCAGAGCGATTGTCATCATCTCTAATCCACTTTTCACATTTCACCAAACCATCAACTGTAGAAAGTCCAAAGAATTACTCACGAAGGTTAGTGCACAAGAGAAAAGCACAGAATATACAAGAGCCAAGAGGACCACATACATAAAACTACAAATCAATGCTTAAGCTCAATATATACATCTAATAATTATAGTTCTTTCAGCAGAAGGGCAAATCATAGATGACATGGACAAGAAGCTCTTTTCTCCATAATTTTCTTCCAGCATTCTACGATTGCTTAAAAGTGGGAAAATGAAAATACATTTCAAGAATTCTGGCAGTTAAAATCGTATGCAATTTCACACTTAATTCCTTTCATTAAGGAATGTCTATTTTCCTCCCATAAATCATATCTTTCACCAGGCTAGCTTGAATCTAAAAGAATAATTTCTACAAATACATAAAAGACATATAAACTGAAAAACATGGTGCATTTAAACTTGTATAATTCTACAGGCAAGTAGCCAAGTGAGCTATTACCACAGGCAAGCAAGCTAAGTGAAATGAATTTCTACAATCAAGTTTCACCTTTTTCTTTGATTCATTAGATTGCTTATAGCAAGTATTTATAATTTCTTCCCAAGAAACAAATTTTCAACGCAGCAGATTCAATCTAACAAAATAACAATACAGAAAAAGGAACGTTAACATCATATCAATTTATGAAACCAATCAACTCATATAATCAATAAAGCAATTCTGACGACTCACCAGTCTCCTCATCGGCCCGAGTCTTCAACCCATCACACCGTTGAGCAGTCCCCCATTGCATCCTATAACAAGTGTTTTGCTCAATAACAGGCTTCCCACTCCAATCTCCCTTCACCCGTGGATTAAAATGCAGGATCCTTGGAGGATCCTCTCCATCCACTATCCTCAACCCCTGCAACTCCATCATAAACTGTGAAACCATCAAGTACTGTCCCTCCTTCAACAGCGAAATCTTTGGATCAGTCTCTGCGTGGGCTACCCTTGGCTTCCCCACCACTGTGATATGTGATCCCAATGTTAGACCACATGGCAACACCATCACTCGCCCCTTCGTTGCAAACACATCCCCCCTTATAGCTAAGGAATGTGGGCATTCCTCACTTTTTCTTTTATTCACACCAGAAGTAACACTTCCATTATTATTTTTTCCTATATTTTTGTCATCAATCCTTTCCAATTCGAGGTCATGCCAGACCTTACTGCCAAGCTCAAGGGCCACTTTTACTGACTCTAAAATCCCATTTTCGGGGATCGAATTCACAATGCCAGCACTGAAGTTCAAGCTTGACAACGGTGTTCTAATTAACTCTTGGATTTTTCTCTCATGTTTCGAATGATTAGAGACCTTAAGGGGTACATCATGAGGGCGAATGGGGGCCTCTCTTTCCTCCAAATTTTCCTCACTTTCCAGCACAAAAGGCTTGTAATTCAAAAACCCATTATTACTATTTAAAATCCCCTCTCGAGAAACTGACCCAAGCCCATTTTTTAACACAAAAGGGACTTCAAAACTCACCAGAAGCATATACAAAAACGCAACAAAAACAAGAATCTGAATTGATCTTTGCCGTCTAAGGGAAAAGAATAATTCCAATTTTGGCCTCCTCATCTTTGCTCAAATTTTAGCTAAAAAAGGGAAAAGAAAAAGAAATACCTGCTTCAAGTTCAAATGCTTGTGAACGTTACAACAAAGAAACCACTGCAAAATTTTCCAATTTCATAAACCGGCAAAACAAGCCCAACTCAGAAACAAATGAAAAAACCAAGAAAAAGAGAGAGGTGTAGACAGATAGAGGTCGGTTAGCAACACAACGATACCGCGTTTAGAGAGAGAAAGTGATATATGTAAAAATATAGAGAGCGATGGAGAAAAGCTTTCTTTGTCGGTCAGTTTTGGTAAAGAATTATCATTTTCAATTCAAATTGAAAAAGCTTTCTTTTTCCAAAGGAATTTCAGAATATTTTCTTCAAATAAAATATTTACTAATATTTTTTCTTTTTTAAAGGGGCAAAAAAGGTAAAATTATGAAGATGCCAGAAAAATCTTCAACATGCCAGAGCTGAGTACAACTTGTAATAAAGAATGTACAATAAAAATCAGATAAAAATTCGAAAGTGACTTCATTAAAGTCAAAGCGATGTGTTTTTGAGTAATTTAATTTGAGATTATGCTTTATTTGGGTAATTTAATGTGAATAAAATATGAGGTTATCCTTAAATAAAATAATTCATTTATTAATTACTTCAAGATTATGGGTTTGTTCAATAGTAGTTTTAATTTGTAATTCTATTGGAATATGATATTTTTTAGGATGTGTCTGGCATTGATTTTTTCCAGATTAGTAGCACATTTTTTTACCCTTTATTTCAATTGCTGGCCTCCACACCTCTCACATGTGGTCAAATGTTGTGGCTGTAAGTTTGTGCAAAGGTTGAGATTTCAATTAAAATCTACCAATTAATTGCATGCCGACATAGCATTAGTATAAAGTTCATAAGAAAATGTTCTAATTCAATTTGTGGAAGATATAGAAAGAACATGAATATATAATTCGAGTCAAATTCGAAGAATTTTCTAGATATCAAATAAATGAGAGCAATCTCTATAGAGAATTTGAATGGTGCAATTGAATCATTAATGACTTCTTTGTGAATTTTCTGATAATGTTCCAAGTAGAATCGATACAATCATTTAACAAAGATACGTAAACAACGATCATACAACGACTTAGATATATAGTACTAAAGAAAAATCTTACTTCATTTTCAAATGTAAGGATAATTTGTATCGAAAATTAATAGCAAATTTAGGTAGTATATGAATAGATGATTTTATTTAAGAATGTTAAGTTTTAAATTTAAAATTGTTGAAAACTTTGTCTTGTCTTTGCTGGAAGCCACATGTTACATTCTGTCTATCTCATAAGGAACAATCTTTATGCCTGCATATATAATAATAAATACAATATATATATATACAAACACACGGTCCTAAACTCAATTTCTTTAATAATAGGAAGGATAATCATTTCAAAGTTGAAACTTGGACTAAATTTCTTGTTTTTGACCATCTAAACGTTCCATTGTTATAGAAAGGGCCGACTTTGAGGGCGGCACAATCACGCAAGGCCTCATAGTTAGAAGGCGATCACTTCGAATTTATTTTCGAGCCTTTCTTCTTCTTCTTCCGCCCGGTGAGGCGCAAAGGAAGAAAGGACTTCCGGTTTTTCTTCTTGCCGGGTTGGTGCCTTTTCGACATTAATAGCCGGATCGGGATCGGAGGAAGACAACGTTGATTTTACCTCGTTTTCATCCCCCTCTAGAAAATCGAGACAGGGACAGAAGTCCTCTGCAAAATCGAGGGACGGCTGTCCAGCAGAAATGGGAACATTTCTGAACGAATCTGGCGACATTGAAGAAAGAAGCCCAGTACTTCCCTACGATAGTATCAGTGAAACAAAGATGTTCACCCAACCAACAACAATCTTGGTAGTGTAAAAGCACATAGATATATACTAAACTATAAGCCACACCATTTGCCTCACGCCATACAAATGACAAATTAATTCAATGAATATTGAAACCAAGAGGAATCACGAATTGGAGAAGAAATGTTTTCATCAATTGAAAAACTAATACAGCTTCATCAGATTAAATAGACAAAGGGCAGAAAAGAAGCGGGAAAATTAGTTCAGCTGGAAGAGGGAAGAAAGGAATTAAAAGATAACAACCTAACTAATTACAATTAAAAGGGTAAAAACGTAATAGTGGAGAAAGTGCCAAAAACCACAGAAAACGTTATTTCAAATTCTCCCCCTTAAGGTGTACGTAAATCTCTTTGACGCACAACTTGGACAGCAAGGGAAACAGACTGGAAGGAGGTAATGGTTTGGTGAAGAGATCGGCCAGCTAATGTCGGGAACGTACAGGAAGAAGCTTAACCATTCCAATATTTATTTTGTCACGAATGAAGTGGCAATCAACATCGATGTGCTTCGTTCTCTCGTGGAAAACAGGATTAGTTGCAATCTGAATAGCAGCCTGGTTATCACAATAAAGTGCAGCCGGAGCCGAAGTGCAAACTAGAAAGTCTTTCAGTAATTGCGTGATCCAAAGAAGCTCACTCACAGCTGAAGCAATGGCTCTATACTCTGCCTCTGCCAAAGAACGTGATATGGTTGGCTGTTTCTTGGATTTCCATGAAACTAACGAATCACCAACAAAAATACAGAATCCAGTAGTGGATTTTCGAGTGTCAACACAGGAGCCCCAATCAGCATCTGAGAATGCTCTAATGGTAATGGATTTATCTAACACCAGTTGCGAAGGAAGAAAAGACCTTGTCCAGGATGCCCTTTTAAATACCTGAGCAAATGATGAACTGCCTTCAGGTGTGTCATTCTAGGTTGGGAAACATATTGACTGAGCTTATGTACAGCAAAAGTGATGTCAGGTCTTGACAAAGTCAAGTATAGGAGCTTCCCAATCAATCTCTTGTAATGAGAGACCTCAGGAAGTAGGTCCCAGTCATGGCGACTGAGAGTAATCTTAGGATCCATAAGGCTGTTAACAGGTTTGCAATCCAGGTAATTTGCATCCTCAACCAATTGTAGAGTATATTGTCTTTGGGAAATGACAATATTAGAAGCAGACCTGGCCACTTCGATCCCCAAGAAATATTTCAAAACTCCCAGATCCTTGAGTTTGAACTGGGTGTGTAAGAAAGACTTTAAGGAATTGATCACCTCAAGGTTGGGTCCAATAATCACAATATCGTCCACATAGACCAATAGAGCTACAAAATGTTGTCCTGAGCCCTTCGAGAAAAAGGAGTAATCTGACCTCGATTGAGTGAAACCATGCTGGATGAGGGACTGAGTAAACTTAGAATTCCACTGTCTAGTGGAGAAAGTGCCAAAAACCACAGAAAACGTTATTTCAAATACTCCCCCTTAAGGTGTACGTAAATCTCTTTGACTCACAACTTGGACAGCAAGGGAAACAGACTGGAAGGAGGTAATGGTTTGGTGAAGAGATCGGCCGGCTGATGTCGGGAACGTACAGGAAGAAGCTTAACCATTCCAATATTTATTTTGTCACGGATGAAGTGGCAATCAACCTCGATGTGCTTCGTTCTCTCGTGGAAAACAGGATTAGTTGCAATCTGAATAGCAGCCTGGTTATCACAATAAAGTGCAGCTGGAGCCGAAGTGCAAACTAGAAAGTCTTTCAGTAATTGCGTGATCCAAAGAAGCTCACTCACAGCTGAAGCAATGGCTCTATACTCTGCCTCTGCCGAAGAACGTGATATGGTTGGCTGTTTCTTGGATTCCCATGAAACTAACGAATCACCAACAAAAATACAGAATCCAGTAGTGGATTTTCGAGTGTCAACACAAGAGCCCCAATCAGCATCTGAGAATGCTCTAATGGTAATGGATTTATCTGACACCAGTTGCGAAGGGAAGAAAAGACCTTGTCCAGGATGCCCTTTTAAATACCTGAGCAAATGATGAACTGCCTTCAAGTGTGTCATTCTAGGTTGGGAAACATATTGACTGAGCTTATGTACAGCAAAAGTGATGTCAGGTCTTGACAAAGTCAAGTATAGGAGCTTCTCAATCAATCTCTTGTAATGAGAGACATCAGGAAGTAGGTCCCAGTCATGGCGACTGAGAGTAATCTTAGGATCCATAAGGCTGTTAACAGGTTTGCAATCCAGGTAATTTGCATCCTCAAGCAACTGCAGAGTATATTGTCTTTGGGAAATGACAATACTAGAAGCAGACCTGGCCACTTCGATCCCCAAGAAATATTTCAAAACTCCCAGATCCTTGAGTTTGAACTGGGTGTGTAAGAAAGACTTTAAGGAATTGATCACCTCAAGGTTGGGTCCAATAATCACAATATCGTCCACATAGACCAATAGAGCTACAAAATGTTATCCTGAGCCCTTCGAGAAAAAGGAGTAATCTGACCTCGATTGAGTGAAACCATGCTGGATGAGGGACTGAGTAAACTTAGAATTCCACTGTCTACAGGCCTGCTTTAGTCCATATATTGATTTATGTAGTTTGCAAACCAATTTCTCCCCCAATTTAGATGGCCTGAGCAAGTTATATCGAAGTGGAAGCTCAATATATACCTCCTCAAATAAGTACCCATTCAAAAAGGCTTTATTAACATCCAATTGCATTAAATGCCAGGCAAGTGAGCTGCAAAGGTGAGTAGGATTTTGACAGTGACTGCCTTGGCCACAGGTGAGTAAGTATCAAAATAATCGAACCCTTCTTGTTGAGTATACCCCTTTGCAACAAAGCGTGCTTTGTGCCTTTCGAGTGACCCATCAGACTTAAACTTGTTCTTATAAATCCATCTGCACCCCCACAGCATACTTCCCAGGTGGCAGCTGCACAACAGACCAAGTGTGGTTATCCTCCACGACCTTTAGTTCAAGTTTTATGGCATCACACCAATGAGGAAATTTGACAGCTTGATGAAAGAATGTTGGTTCAAATTGTGAGGAAATGGATAAGGCAAAGTGCTTACAAGGGCAGGAAAGATTTTTATAAGAGATAAAATTGCTTATGTGGTATGGAGAAGGAGTCAAAACTGGATTAGTATGAGATATCATATTACAATGGTAATCGTGAAGGTATTTGGGAGGTCGAAAGGATCTTGTAGACTTGCGAACTTCAAGGTTTGATGTACTGATAGAGTTTAATTCATTTGGTAATTCAGGAATATATGGATCATCAGAATGATGTAACCCAGTAAAAGGAGAAGACATGATAGCTTCTTAAATATTGGAGTCCTGATGAGTAGATCTATCAGGAGAATCAATGGGTGTAGATAGATTGGGAGATGGCAGTACCAAATCAGGAAAAAGGTCAAGCAACTGATCTGATTGGACTATAGTATGAAAATGAAAAGTTTCTTCATGAAAGACAACATCTCTCGAAGTGAAAATCTAGGCAACATCAAGCAACTTAAATCATTTGATTCCTGAGGGATAACCTAGGAACACACATAATCTAGCACGAGGTTGGAATTTATTCCTATGTGCTGTAAGAGTGGAAGCAAAACTCAAGCACCCAAACACTCGAAGATTTGAATAATCTGCGGGCTTGCTGTATAAAATTTCATAAGGCGTTTTGTATCTTAAGATGGGAGAAGGAATTCTATTGATGAGGTAAGCAGCTGTTAACACGCATTCAGACCAGTAACAAATAGGAATTCTGGACTGAAATTATAAGGCTCGAGCAACATTCAACAAGTGCTAATGCTTCCTTTCTACAACAGAATTTGCTGGGGCCTCTCCACACAACTGAACTGATGTATAACCCATCTGTCAGCTAAAAAACTTTTACAAGCCAACTCATGTGCATTGTCAGATCTGAAACACTTGATTTTGGCATCAAACTGTGTGGCAACCATATTAAAGAAACAAATTATAGCAGCTTCTGCTTCAGATTTCTAATGCAACATATAAATCCAGGTAAATCTGGAGCAGTCATCTACTAAAGTCAGGAAATACTTGTGTCCTGTGTGGGATGTTGTATGATATGGCCCCCATATATCACCGTGCAACAATTTAAATGGTTTATCAGACAATTTATTATGTGATTCAAAAGACAACCTCCTTTGTTTAGCTATGGGGCAAATGTAACAAGGCAACTGTCTATTAAGTTCTGAAGTATTACAGGACACTTGGTTCTTCAAAACATCTAATCTTTTAAAAGATAAATGGCCTAGTCTATTATGCCAAACGTGAGCTGATACATTGCCAACAAAATTATTGGAAACAGAATCTAAATTTCTAATATCAAGAACATATAACCCTTGAATACTACTACCCCTGCCAATCATCTTCATGGTGGAATTCTCCTATATTTGAAACTGACCCTGAGATAAGTGTAATGTAAGTTGAGGATCAACAGCCAATGCACTAACTGAAAGTAAATTGAACTTGAACTGAGGCACATATAAAACATCATAGAGCATCAGACTAGGACTTAGCTTGATTTCACCACACAGATTCACAAAGTAATGCTGGCATTTTCAATTGATCTCATAGTTACAAATGCTCCAGCATTACAGCAAACGTGTTTAGTTGCTCCTGTGTCTATTATCCAAACTTCCTTAGTAGCAAAAACAGGATCAATAGATATGGAATGACAAATACATGTAGTCTGCTGTCTTTCCATTTCAGTAGGAACAAAACTTGAATGATGTGGTAAATGATTAGATAACATGTTCATGAGCTGTTGATACTGAGTTAAGTTCAGATTTTGAAAGAAATCTCCCATGTTAGACGGATCCTTATGCTGATTAATGGAAAACTGATTGACATGATTATTAGCATAATAGCCTCGAACACCTTCTCTGGCCTTTGGTTTGAATCCTGGGGGGTATCCATGGATTTTATAACATTTATCAACGGAAGGACCATGAAACTTACAGTGAGTACAATATGGCTTATCCTTTCTCTTGAAGGTAGAAGCATTTCCAAATTTGGATCCATCATTTATAGGACCATAATTCATCATAGGTTTCACAACTTCAGATCTAACATCAGATCTGTATCCATCGTTTCTAACATCATAATTCATTGCAGGCTTCACAGCAACATCAGATCTAATAGAGAATGATGCAGATGCATTAGTGGACATATTTTCAGTTCCTAATGCCTGTGCACTTATCTTTCTCTGGTTTTCCTCTTGCACCATAAGTGCAAATACTTTATTAATAGGCGGCATAGAATCCATAAGCAGGATCTGACCCCTAGCTTGAGAATAGGACTCATTCAACCAAATAAGGAAGGACATGATGTACTCTAATTGGTGATATTTGTTCATCTCCTTAACTCCTTCACATGTGCATTTTCCACAGTTATAGTTAGGCCTAAAATTGATCAACTCTTCCCACACGGTCTTCAATTTTGTGAAATAAACACTGATAGAACTCTGATCCTGCGTCAAGTTCATTAGCTCCTTTCTAAGTTGAAAAATATGTGGTCCATTACTTTGTTGGAACCTCTCTTTGAGGTCATTCCAGATCTCGTGAACAATAGAGGCGTAAATTATACTAGTCGAAATTTCCTTTGAAACTGAATTCAGAATCCAAGACATAACGATGTTATTGTTTCTAATCCACGAATTAATCAATTCTGGATGCGATCCATCTGGTTTCTCCATAGATCCATCAATGAAAGAGGTCTTATTCTTCACCGAGAGTGCGATCATCATCGCTCGATTCCACGAAGCATGCTTTTCCCCAGTAAGAATCTGTGACACCAGTACCAAACTAGGATTATCCGAATGGTGAAGATAAAATGGGCTAGATGGTTCGTCGATAGCTGATTTACTCAGTGACGAATTCACATCTGTATTAATTTGATAATTTGCTGCATCCATATCAGCAAAATTGCAGAAAACTCTCCATGATTTCGAAAGTCAGAATTACTCTGATACCATATTGAAACCAAGAGGAATCACAAATTGGAGAAGAAATGTTTTCATTAATTGAAAAACTAATACAGCTTCATCAGATTAAATAGACAAAGGGCAGAAAAGAAGCGGGAAAATTAGTTCAGCTGGAAGAGGGAAGAAAAGGAATTAAAAGATAACAACCTAACTAATTACAATTAAAAGGGTAAAAACGTAATAGTGGAGAAAGTGCCAAAAACAACAGAAAACGTTATTTCAAATTCTCCACCTTAAGGTGTACGTAAATCTCTTTGACGCACAACATGGACAGTAAAATTAGTTCAGCTGGAAGAGTGAAGAAAAGGAATTAAAAGATAACAACCTAACTAATTACAATTAGAAGGGTAAAAACCTAATAGTTGAGAAAGTGCCAAAAACCACAAAAACGTTATTTCAAATAATGAAACCATGCTAAAGCAGATCTACAAAAAATCCGAAGTGATCTACAGCAAGCATCTACACAACAAAATTTGAACCAAGAGAACACACTTTCAAGTTTTTTTATACAGGCAACCTTAAGGGCCTTGAAGCAATATGACTTTGCATACGTCATATCAGCCAGTCTAACCACATTGCAATATCATCAGCCCTATAGATCCCACAACCAACATTTCTCTGTTAACTTTTCAATAGAGTATATAAATTTATCCGTACCGCTAAAATAGACAACAAAATCAAGAACATAACCAAACTAAGCTGCTTCACAGCACATGATCCTAGTTCCTAGCTTCTTTAAGAGAGTAATAGCTTTACCAGCTTACAATTTAACTTCCCGAGAAGTCCGCCCGGGAACAAAGCACTGGATATTGCGGTGCAAAGAGAACTTAGCTGCTAAAGAAACCATCTGCCATGGAACAAATCACTGGATATTGCAGTGCATTCATACGGATTGGTCATTATTAAATGAAACGGAACGTAATGGTACAAAGGAAATCTTTGGGTGACACTCGTTCAATGCAGCTGGGGAAAAACTCAGACAAACATCAGGGGTAACCGCTCCTGTAACCTTTTATCAGGAATACATCACCTGTGCAGCTGAACTAATGGGGATCACACCAGAAGATGACACAAGGGCATCCACGAGGACATCGTTTGGGGTCATTGGTATAACATTTTCATCCAATATCTGCAGCGAATAAGAAAGAGCAACTGCACATCAAAGCAAAACTGTTAATCATACACTATAATCACATCACAGCTTAGGCTTAGAGCATGTGATGCAATATTATAATAGATATTATTATATGTAGTTTCCAATTTTGATATGTTTTTTAGGAAACTTAATTATGTTTGATTTAGTAGCTTTTATTAGATATTTTTTCTTAGAATAGAATGAATGAAACCTAAAAAAAACAGTATTTTGCGTTGTAATAGAACAACCTGATTATATGAAATAAATTGATGTCCTCTTGTCCTCAATTCTTCTCCCCTTTCCCCTCCTTTTCTCTTCTTCTCTTCCCTTTCCACTCTCTTTTTTTTTTTTTTTTTTTTTTATAGGAAGACATCAACACAGCCTCGGGGAGTTTTCAGGCTCAACAAAGAAATATTGATAGGGTTAGAATGCCCCAACCGTATAAAGAATCAAACTCACGAGAACAAAAGGAAGGTGGCATATGCCTAACCTCTCAAAAGTAGAGCAATGCAACATATAAAATAATGAACTGAATAAAGAATCACTACTTTCTATACGATGAAAGCAAGTGGAAATAAAACTAATGTCCTCTAATACTAGAAAGTACATATCGATCAACATGTGCAAGGACATGAAGTGGTTATGATAGATCTACCGGTCCATACTCTTAATAATGACGCTGGTCCCAACCCTCTGGTGCCAAAAAATCAGCAACCTGATTCCCCTCACAATAAATGTGGGAAACACTATCACGATTATACGAGAGGTGTCTGATTTGTCACATTTACCTTTTCACCGACAAACTTATTTTTATATACGAAATAAGTCTTAGGTTACTTTTTATAAAAGTAACTTTTAAGCATAGCCAAACATGTAACATATGTCCTAGTAGAATTCAACAGAGTTACCTACCGAATAAAGGTCTCTTCCAGTTACGAGCCTTTGCGAGCTCCTGGTACTTGATGAGGAAGGTGTCATAATAACTTCATTTTGTTCAAATGCAACATCAGGCCATGATAGAATAACAAGTGACATTTAGGAAATTGGAACCAAAAAACAAAGAAACAAGAAAAAGAACGAGAGCCTGATTGACAACTATTATTGAAGAAAAAAATAGGGTTTTGAATAGTGATTTAAAAAGTAAAGAAATTTTTTTGATATACGTGTAGAATATTTTATTGTATAAATGTGTGGTTAAAAATGATCGTGCAGAAAACCATAAAATAGATTAATTGATGTCAAACAGGCACTAAATGAAAATTGTACACCCAAAATTTGTAACTTACCCTCCACCACGGCCCAAGCGCCTACCAGATTTGTCAAAGGCGAGCCCTGTAAAAATAAAAGAATCCCAAAACAAATCAAACTAACACACCATTTTCAACCTATGGACAGCGATGCACACAAGAAAAAACTTAAACGGAATGAAAATGCACACCAGGTAAGAGGAATAAGTCCACAGGTTCATCGGCAAACAAGACTGCAAAAACATAAAAACTTTTAGTTCCAATCAAATATCAAATCTTGTTAGTAGTCTAGTGTCGAGTCCCATCCAACACTATGTATCTACTATGTACCAAACATATTGAGAGGGCATAATTCCAAACAAAACATATATATACCTATATATATGCATATATAACATGTATATACATACATCTGTTACTGTATATAAAGTTAATGCTGTGTGTAATTATTCATGCAGGGTTGTTGGAGCAATTGTCATTGTTGCAGGACTTTATTTGTTGTTTGGGGTAAACAAAGCGACCACAATTCCCCAACAACCCAAGAACAAGATTACCAGTGACACAAATGGTGAATACTAAAGATGGTACACATATGCGGAGTACTTGATAGTGACATACACGTGGTGAATACTGAAGATAGGTGTCAGATGGTGAATATTACTGAAGAGGAACATTAAAGCTGTGAGATTACTGCAGAACCGGACTCAATTGGTAGGTTCACCTCAAAAAGTTGAGAACATGTCTGATGTTTGCAGGCTGGTAGGGGAAATTGGCTAAGAACTTGAATGGAATTCTGTAAAGAGTAGCAAGGATCGGTGAAAGAGCTGTTAACATTATCTTATAAGAAGTTGTGGCATCACAGTGAAGTTGAATTGATAATTGTGGGCATCGTGGAACTCGTATAAATGTAGATCAAAATCTATAGAGCTCTCCTCCTCATTCAAGGGAATTTCTCTCCATGTTCGCTGCTTGATTAAGGTGGTGGCGGTGTGGTGGCAGTGGCGGTGGTGGATGGGCTGAAGAAGATTAGGATTTTGTTTCAATTATTTTGCTTTCTTTTAAGTTATATTTACACCGTTGGATTAAATAAATTTAATGGGTGGGATAATATATTGGTAGATGAACGGTCGGTCTGCATATGCATGCGCCCACAAACCTGTGTAGAATTAAGAGTATGGCAGATAGATTTAGAAGCATAAAATGAAATTAGGAACTCTACAGGAAATGGACAAGAATTACCATCTTGGCGTTCATTTCCCTCTGCATCAACAGGAGCAGGCTCCAATATGTCCATGGTATTTGCAATTAGATCATTCATGCTAGAGATATTCAGCATCCGCATGTGACTATTCTTGTCCTCTACTCGAGGAACATACAACTTTTTGCTCACCTGTGAATGATCATCTTATCCAAGAACAGCAAATATGAACTTGAATTTGATCAAAATTACATAAAAAGGTACACAAATCCTATGGATTAAACAAATAAATATAACACATTCCATTTTGACATGTAATCCAACTCTAGACAAGGATAGAAAATCTTCTCCTCCCAGATTAGTATCAGGTGGCAAAACCCAATAAATTAGGGGTCAACTACATTAATCTATTTTGATGGCACATTGCAATATTCTCTCTCTCTCGTTTTTCTTCTTTTTTTTTTTTCTTTTTTTTTTTTTTTTCTGAAAGCCACATTGCAATATTAAAAAGCAGTCTAAATAATGGGAATGAAAATTAAAAATGTACCTCGATCTGTGTTCTTTAGAATTTCAGACAACACTTTAGAAGTGTCAACTTCTCTTAGAGCACTACAACTTATATAAGCACACAGTCCTTTACAAGACTTGAACCATGGAGCTTCCAATATTACACTTTGTATTGCATCATCTGAAAGAATCAAAATAAAGGGAAATTTGAGAGGAAAATATATGTGTGTGTGTGTGTGTGGAATAAATCGCGAGCGCGCGTATATGTAGGTAGGTGTATGTACCTTCTTGAGATCTGAGAGTGGGATCCATGGACCTGAGGTCTTTTCTGACTTTAGACCGGAGGAACTTTTTTTGCTTGAAAATGGTGTCCAATCGGGTGGTGTTGGTGTTCATGGTGGTGAAGTTTAAGGAGGCGGAGTGGCACAGGTTAAGAGAAGAAGAGTGTGGGTAGAGAACACGGGTGGTTAGAAATGAAGGTGGCGATGCGGCGGTAGTTGCTAATGTGCGCGGGTGAATCATCAGCCTTTCGGCGGCCACGACCAATTTTCGGGCCCTCTTTGTTAGCCCTATTATGGTCATTTGGACTTTGTTTAAGAATAAATAATTATTAAGAGCATATTTCTACATACTTATTAAAAGTTTTTTTTCCTATAAAATAAGTTAAAATTAATTATTTTTAAAAGAAAATTTTATTAATAAAAACAGTAATTTTGAAATAATAATTAGGTCATGTTTGGCTAAGCTTAAAATGGAATAAAGTTATTTTTAAGTCTATTAATGTTTTCTTGCATATGGATATAAGCCAACAACCGTGTGAGAGATAAGGTGTAAATCAAATTCAGCCACTCAAATTTATTTAGAAATTGATTTTAGTTGGCTTTATATAAGTTTGGATATATCTCTATGTATATATTTAAGCAATTTGTATGGATAAAACTTTTAAAAAAAAATGTATGGATAAAATTTGTAAATTTCTTATTCTTGTATGATTTATTTTGCGGCTTTTACATGCTCTCAGATAATGGCACATGTAAAATAGGTCAACCCAATTTGAACCCAAAAAAAAGGCTTGACAAAATTTAAGATGTGATCTCGTGATTACATATTATACAAGAATTATAAAAATTGAATTCTATCGAAATAATTTCACGTTCTAAGGTTGGGGTCGAGACGTTCAATTTTAAGTCCTTCAAAGCAAGTAGCAGAAAAGAAACGAGAAATGCAATGCCCTCACCCTCTAACCCGGGCTCTTTTTCTTTCCTGAAAAATTCAAGGATCAAAATGACCTTAAAATATGTTTAGCATATAGTAGTGATTACAAGAACAATCCTAGCACTTTCTCTCATATTGGACAATAATTTCAAATGAAACATTGGATTAACCTCAATCCTAATCTCGATATTAGACATGATTGGATAGCTTCCCACAGATGTTTCCTTCATACTTGGTAACATGATATGTTACCTAAATACAAAAATTCCTAGCATATTGTCTGTAAGGAGAAAACTTACAAAAGATAAATAAAGAAGAGAATGCTCGACCAGCTATCACCTTTAGGACAAAATCTTGTGCATTCATCTCCTCGGATGGAATTTTGTCAATGGTTCTGACTATCCGAAGATGTTGAGCTATCTAAGTCAAGAGCCAGTCACCTCAACCCCTTGATGGAGTGTCATAGCAGCATGCTTTAAGAAGTCGCTATCGGTTTCAATGGCTCTCAACCTGTCCCTAATTAGAGATACTTCTCTTTTAAGAGTGACCTTGTTTTCATTTCCACCTGTTAGCACCGGAAACCACATAATTTTAAGCAAATTAGAGGATGATTGGGAGGAAGGGAAAATAAACTTTTTAAAAGATATATGTGGCTAACTAAAGCTAGTCACTCTATGGGTATGTTTGATACCCAATACTAGATAGAACTACACGTGATAATACTATCCAATCCAGCATACCAAACATGACATAAAAGTTAAACGCAAGAGAATAATTGAAAGCAACTTGGAATTACCTCTGGCAGCAGCATCATGCTTAACATTATCGACCTCCGAAGATTCTGACCCTTCATCTGAAGATGAATATATTATTCTCTCAAGATCTGTTGAAAGGGCTAGAAGATGAGATCTTTCGCCCTCAAAATCTAACAACAAATCATTTGGATTCCCTCCTGCATATTCCAAAGATTGATCATAAGAACGCTCGCGTTCATTGTGATTCACACCACTTGAGCTACCACAGTCTGATTTCTCGCTAAATTAGGAAAAAGAATGATGTTTGAACTCTTGATAATCTTCATCAACGTCGCAGATCTCACCATCTTCTTCCTTGTTAGGTCCATATTTTTCTCTATAGGTTTCAAGTTCAGACTTTAAAAGCTTTACATCTTCCTCACTCTTTAAAAGCACATCTTTCAATACATATATAGCTTCTTCATTGTACTCTGCCTGCTCTTCCATCATTCTCTAATACTGCAAGGCCTCCATTTGGACAGCCACCTTCTTGGCTTGTAATCGGGTAATCATGGCCATTGCATTGTTTGACGCATCTGCATAAGCACTTCTTTCTTCACCTAATTCCATGTACAATGCCATCAGGGACTCGTGGTCCAACCGAACTTGCCTCTTATAACAATGCAAAATGGAGTCCCCGTCTGCACCATTTAGAGCCCTTGCATCATCGATTGAGAGCTTTCTAGTACCCCTGTTGTCCCACCTATGACTGGATTGAGCTGAATCCGACAATCATTGGTGGATCTAGGGGGACTGGGCTATTCTATGGCACGTCCCCGCAGCCCAATTCACCTTTTTAAAAAAATTAAGTAAAAACAATTTTTTATGTGTAAATTTTTTTTCATTTTTCTTTTTTTTTTTTTTTTTGCTCATTAGCTCGTCTTAAAATTTTTCTTGAATCCACCTATGACGACAATGGGATTCCAAAAAAATTGTTTCCTTTACTAAAATTAGGGGTTCTGATTACGCATTCATTAACATCCTCGTAATCTGGTATTAATGGCACCATAGCAACTTGAGTATCTTCTCGACCTGCTGTAAAACATCAGATGAAAACCATTTCGCCAGCATACTTGGCTTCATAATTTCTCTCTCAACTCTAGCACGACAAACTCGCTCTTTGGAGGGGGCGGCCGGGTGGGCAACAAAATTTTGCAAAATGTCACATGTAAATGTCAAATAGACTATATACAAATATTCATGAAGTCACAACAGCAGTTGAATGTGATTAATTTCTAGAAAGGAATAAGAAAAATTGAAAAGAGATCATTGTAGTACTAAAACTCGAGGAATCAATTTATTATATTTGGCCTGAGAACAATTATAAGAACTTGAGAAGCCAGGACACATTCAATTCATGGGTGGGATGGAATGTCAACAGGCATCTATTATTGAATTCACCCAACCCGATAGTATCCATTTTGGGAATGTCCAGTGCCAAAGTCACTGAATGGGTAAGTCGTCAATCCTTGGACTATGTAATCTGCTGGATTACAGGTTCTATACTGATCCTTAATGATAAGTTCAAGAATAGGTGTGAAACAAAAAATGTTCATAAAAAATAGAAAGTAAATAAGTGGAAAAAAAAATTAATGCCTTCTGATATTACCTTCGTTTGAGACATTTTCATCCTTTTGAACCTCTGATTCGTTGTTTGAATCAAACTTAAGCTCCATGTACTTAATATTAGGCAATTCTACATTGCGTCCTTCTTCATTTCTACTAGCCAACAAGGGTACTTGAGGGGATGGTGCAGCGGCTTTCATGGACAAACTCGAGAATGTTCTTGTTTTAAGAGGCTCCCCCCAACAAGAACACTTTGAAACAATGCTCCCATTCTCCTTAACTTTCTCCCAATTATCCTGATTTTTCGCTAATTTCATATGATTTTTGGAATCAAAATCCTCAACAAAACAATCAATATCCTTGTGCAAAATGCCCACGAGAGACTTGTATTTACCACAATCATAAGAAACCTTCTCTATCGCAAAGGAAAGAAGGCACCCTTCACACATACTACAAAGATCAGATAATTTCTTGTGCACATGACAACATGCAAGGGAAGAAATGTCTTTTTTGTGAACTTCACAAAGGGAACGCAGCAAAAATTGGAATTTTGCGCAAAAGAATGTGATTAATTCTTGTGCAAATCAACCATGGAATTCTCAATTCGAAAAACTTCGCAAATTCATATGAAGTAAATGAAACAAACCCATCAATGAATAGTAAAATTATCATAACCCATTCAAGAACAGCATATATCATGAAATTTT